ATCTCTCCCGTGGGAACTGAATCATCTTCAGCCTTCGAGGATGGACACGCTGTTAAGAAATTTGTCTGCTGACCGTTGCCGGGGCTGCGCTGATGTAGTGTCTTAGGCGGAAAGTGGACGATCCCGTCACCGAGATAAATATGAGGTGCCGTTTCTACCGGCTCACGTGTGACTTGGCAGCTCTGTTGTTCGAGGGCGACAACAGCAACAAATGGTCAATATTTGTTTGCTCTGGTGGTAAACCTGACCCGGCTTATCCTCAGAACGTTTTCAGTTGTCGGTTGTTTGCATAAGATTAGCCGGAAGAAGGCGACGTGCTCGATGGGGGCGCGAAGTAGGCGAACGACGGACGGCTGACGGACGAGGTGCGTGATGAATGAATGTGCTGGAGTATAGCTGCGGTGAACCAGATCGTTGCCCATGTAATACGCGTCATCGTTCCGATGCATCTGTGCCGTTCGAATGAGCGCGTCATCACCTCAGGGGATGAGTGACGTCGATCAGAACAGAGAAGTGTGAGTGTGAAGATTGATTCACAGGCGCTACACCCACACGGTTTTCAAGCTGTCGAGTGCAGCTGCATGCGGCAGTCACTTGTCAGAGGTGGCAGCGAGGCAGCGAGTTTCTCGGCACAGGTTTCGGCCTTAATTTGAGCATCGCCGTACGACCAGACGTCGTGGTCCTAAACCCGATTTCTTCACACACCTACACCTCTACGATGACAAACCGAACGGATCTGAGAAGAACAGCGGTTGAGTTACGGAAGTGTACACCGCAGAAACGAGGTCACCGCTTCACACTTTCATTACACTGCTTCGTTGTTAGGACGATGGCTGCACCGACCCGTAGAATCGCTTAAGAAATGGTATCTGCCGGACACGACGTATATCACGGGCGAGACCTGTAACGTGCAAAAAGGTTCTAGACATGGACGTGGACGAATTTTTCGAACTACACACGAGGGAGGGAAACGGTTCGCTCGAAATTTCGTCCGAAAACTAGCCTCAGCCAGAAGTCACTTCCGATGCTGGTCTGTCAAGGATTATTCCCAGTAACCCAACAGCTGAACGTTAGGGCTGTGTAAATACGCACTTGTGTGCAGTTATGTGAAAGTTCGAATAAGCTTGAAGATGATGCTGCGGGATCTGTCGAATTTAAATAGTAAAAGTTTGTTTCGACGCAGTACACGCCTCACAGTGGTAAAAAATTGGTCTCCTGTCTACTGACTCACAGTCCTCAATTGAAAGCGAATGACAGGCCAGTCGACACACGATCCTCATCTATCACTATGCGTTTTATACATTACGCAATCTGTGTAGAAACTTTCAGTGTAAACTATATAGTTGGTTTAATCAGCTGTGGTTTTTCTTGTACGGACGATTGTCTGAAGCAACGTGAAAAGAAAGTGGCAAATATTACCTACGTTCAAACGCATGGTGAGCGATGAACGAGCGTTTCATTTCATGGTATCCGTCCATCGCGCACTTTCCGGATCTTCCGTTCAGACGGCGGACGACATGGCGACGTGGTGAGAGAATTTCGCGATGCTCTCGCGGGCCAAAGTACGGACGATCGCCTCTGGGCTGGTGGGCAGTGATTTCTTCTGGACAGATGTGCGTTGAAATTTCAAGGAGTTCTGTCGGTCCCGGTTATCCGTGCTGGACGATGGATAACAGAGGCGAAAGATCTCACGGCGACGGTTTCGTTGGTGTTTAAGTATACGGCTGTCGTCTCTTCTCTGCGGGTGTGTAATGCTTGTAGTCGGATGAGTGTCCCTGGCCCAGACGGATTAGCGTTAAACGCACGCTGTCAAAGAGGCTGTCAAACGCTTACCACTGCTTCGACCAGGCTTCTGCTTCCCGAAGCATCGCGTTCTTAGTCCGCTATTTCAACATCCACCAGAGGCTTAAAACGCTGAGCGAAATACTTTCTACCGTACCTCATGCTGACTTAAAACCGTCACCGTGGTCGTTGCTCGTTTTTCCGCACGGGAAGATGAAGCTGGGTTGATGCAGAGCGTTTAAGCCACATACGAGGCTGAAACGCTGCATTTTGGAACGCACCATTCTTGTGACGTTTACTCTGCACCGGTTGTTCAGAAAGGTAATTTACAAGTTTGCGGTGAGTGGTCGCCTCGATTGCCGATGTTTTAATCCAGATCTGAACTTGTGTCCAGCGCTTCAGCGTTAGAATGCATTCTCAACAGACATTGATGCAGGATGACTGCCGCAGTTTGGCGTATGATTGTCGTGAATAAACTATCAACTATTAAGTACGGCGTTTTTCAGCTGTGCTTTATTACCGTCTTTAGCCAGTGGTTGCGAGCTTACGGCGATTCCTCACGGCTAACGAGGACGCATTACGGTATACGTTGCTCTTCGTGGTTATGCGAGCCGATAATTTACAACTGTTCGCTATTGTCTACGACGGTAGAGGTGAATTTTGCCTCTCTGTGACTTGAGTGGTCAAGGACGTTAGATAAACGCTGTTTTTTATACAACAGAGGACAGCGGACATCGCTGACGACCGATGCGCTGTCGGAAATGGAAATGGACCTGTAAATCGACTGGTTCTTGTTTTACGTTTCTAGCATGTCCGGTCGAAGTGAGTGATCCGACAGTGCTAATCGATCGTTGCTGCTGTTGGAGGTCGATGAGCGGATCGTGCGTTCCGTAACTCAGTCAAGTGCTCGGTCGTTGCGTGCCAACATCGCGGATATCTGTCAACGCCGATATTCGGTACGGATTGCGCATCCGCGCCAAGACCGGATACGGGCACGTAGATAACCGGCGGATAATCGATAGGCAGAGGCATGGTGCGTGCGCGTGGTCAGAAAAACTCGCGTGCTTCGGATTCTGCAGGTTTTCTAAGCGGCGTTGAGGCGTCTTTGTTAAATGCGTTAGCCGAAAGAGTGAATGAGTGCGAAGAAGGAAAGTTCGGCAGAAAGTTTTCCGTTGTTCGCACTTGTGGCCGTCTGTTTGTTGCTCGGCATGTGCTTAATCCGTGCCGTCGACCTATTTCCGCCGCAACTGCGAACTCTTTGCACTCGATTGGCCTCACGAGTGACCTCGCGAGGTAGCAAATGGAAGCAAAACGCCGTTGGTCGGCTCCATCCGTCGAGTTCGTCGTCATCGATGTTCGCTCCGACCCGTTTGTCCTCGTATCGCCAGTTCATCCGTCCGTTAGGTCGGCTGTCAAGTTGAGGCAACAGAAGCAGAGTACGCCGGCTGAGTGCGGAGCGGAGCGCGGAGTACGACGGCGCCTGGCGGATGGTGGCGATCTCTTATCCTTGACCGCGTTTGTCAGCGAGTCGATATTTCGCGTTTCACGCATTCCACAACTGTTCCCGTTCCTCGCCAGAGGGGAGGGGGGCCGCGGGGGCGAACGACCGTGATCCTTGCCGAAATAAATCTTTTATTGCCAACAACTTATCCGCGAAGTGTTTGTGAACTTTTTGCCTACTGATGGACACGACCACTAAACTCGACAGCGGCTTTATTTGAGTCGACGAGACGAGCGGTAGATGCAAACGCACTTGTCGTGTTAGAGCAAATAACGACGCATCGAACGACATGGCTCAAACC